TTGTTTGTAAATAATAGTATTGTTAATACTGTTCTGTTAGGGAATCTCAGCACTAGTAGTGGGTGGTTGGCGGGTGCTCATTAACATTGTGTTACTGTTACGTTTATTTATATATTCTATTTATGCCACCAACAGAGAGGTTAGTTAGGGTGTTGTGTATGTCATGTAAGTCATTTTGTTATTCTATGTTTCTATTTGTGCCACCAACAGAGGCGCTCGGCATCTCCGCTGGAGCGTGACAAATTCCGACACCGCAGTCGGACACCCGAGGCGGCGGACCAGGGCAAGAAGCGTAGGGCCGAGGATAAGGCAGCTGTAAGTACTGACCACTTCTCACTTTGGTTCCTTCATGCTCCTTCTTTCCTTCCAACCTTCCTGCTCCTTCTTTCCTTCCAAACACCTTTTATTCTTGATGGGTTTTGTTTACTCACTTTTATTCCTTCCTGCTCCTTCTTTCCTTCCAAAAAACATCTTTCGTCCTTGATGGGTTTGTTTCCTTACTCTTCTTCATGCTTTTTCTTTCTCTCTCTCTCTTTATTTCTTTCTCTCTCTCTCTTTATTTCTTTCTCTCTCTCTCTCTCTCTCTTTTTTTTTTCTCTCTCGCTTTCTTTCTTTCCTAACATCTTTCGTCTTTGATATGTTTTGTTGCCTCACTCTTCTTCATGACTTTTCTTTGCTTCCAAACATCTTTCTATCGTCCTTGATGTGTTTTGTCCCCTTACTCTTGCTAGTGTCGCAAAACTTGTACTAAAACAAAAGTTAATTCTTTATCTGTTACTCTCTAGTTATTTGGCACTTACATGACCAAAAATGTGTCTTTAGTGCCGTAAAATACCTATTTAAATCTATCGAACTCTCTAGTAACATCTCTAATCTTCGGCACTTGTGTGACCTAATTAATTGTGTTGCAAGTGCCCTAGTGGGTGGTTGGTGGGTGCTCTGGTGTGGTTTGCTTCTTCTTTCTTGTCAAGCATCTGTCGTCCTTATCCCCCCTTCTTCTTTTTTATGTTTGTTACTCTCTTGTAACACCTCTGATCTTCTGGCGCTCATATGACCTTATGCAGTTGCGAGCGCCGTAAAACCTTTACTAAAACTAAAAACAAGTGCCGTAAAACTCGTACTTCAACTGAAACTAAGATCTTCCTATTTCCTAAGCCTGGTGTAAAGTGCATGTGAGGAAGTCTTATCAAGTGTTCTTGTCGAGTGTTTGTTTGGAGATTGTTGTGTGCTCTGACGTACGCACCCTCACCTCCTTTGTGTGTGTGTGTGTGTGTATGTGTATGTGTGTATGTATGTGTGTGTGTGTATGTGTGTGTGTGTGTGTGTGACGCCATGTTGATTCAAGTGTACTTATGA